TTTTTATTTCAGCCCCCCCCCCCCTCTGGTGGAAGTGTAAATTATAAATTAGTACAGGCTTTTTGAAGGCAATCTGGCAACATTTGTTAAAATTAAAAACCTTTCCATTATATAATTTCACTTCTTGGTAGTTATCCAAGAGCAATATTGCACATGCACAAAAAGATACAAATAAAGAGGTATTAACCACAACATTGTTAATAAACAAAAAAAGTGGAAGCAACTAAATGTCTATCAGTAACCAAATTGTTAGATAAATTAGTATGCATCCCCAATATGGAAAACTATATAACACTGCTAAAGAATAAGTTAGATGGGAAATGTCATGGAAAACATTTCAAGACATTGATGAGTGAGGAAAGCAAGGAGCAGATTATTATATGCAGTGTGATCTAATGACGTAAAATAACCACAAAACATAGCTATGTATTTTTATTTCTACATGTTCATATATATTGTGTGAAAATGCATAGTAAACAGGCTTGCAAGCGTTCACACCCAATCGTTTACAGAGATTACTGTCTGGGGAGGGACCTGGGACGGTGGTGAAAATGATATTCCTTCCTAACACGGTTGGACTCAGCCCTTGAGTTACAATAGCTGTGTGTGGTTCTCCTTTGCCCTGTGGCCCTGGGAGGGACACGGCACTCAGGAAATCCTAATAAACGCTTGTGCTTAGTTGCTTAAATACTTAATTGAAGCATGAGGCTAACCAAAGTATGGAACTTAGAAAAAAAAGAAAGGTTTTGATCAAAGAAGTAAACACCATTTTTGTACAAAGAAGGAAAAATTAAATTCTTCAGTTCTGATAACAATCATATTTTCTGATTGCAAAGTAAAACAAAACACGCAATTATAAGTAGAGTTTGGCCATGTAGAATAGGAAAGTCATGCTGTTATTCAAGGAACAGTGTGATTGAAGAGGGAAATAAACTAAGATAAGGATGTTTGCTCAGTAATAGATTACAATTACAGTTAACCCTTGAATAACTCAGGTGTGAATTGAGTGGGTCAATTCATATGTGGATTTTTTTCATTTCATAAACAGATGACGTAAACTTATGATATTGATAAATAGAATACAGGACTGTAAGTTATTTTCTCCTATGGTTTCCTTAATAATATTTTCTTTTCTCTAGCTTACTTTATTGCAAGAATACAGTAAACAATACATATACCAAATATTGGCTAATTGACTTCTATGTTATCAGTAAAGCTTCCCACAGTGGGCCCTCAGTAGTTGAGTTTTGGGAGAGTCAAAAGTTACAGGTAGATTTCTGACTGCAAGGGGGTCAGTGTCCCTAATCCCAGCTTGTTCAAGGATCAACTGTGTTTGTTCCTTCATAATTCCCGGCTCTGCCTCTTATAGGGTTTTGGGCAAGTGTTTTAATCTCTTGGAATTTGTTTTCTCAATTTAAAAAAACATACCTGTAATAATACCCATTCTGTCCAACACTCAGGTTTTTTGTAAGGCTCACAGGGTAATGAACATAAAGGTTTTTTGTTTTCTTTTTTTGTAAAAACAAAACCCTCTAACCACAAAAAGCATTTATTATCATAGAGTTAAAAGGGTCGGAGACCTGGGTTCTAGACCTGATCTCGTCACTGACTTTCTAAATGGCAATCCTATTGCCTCCCTAGATATCAGTTTCTCTGCTTGGAAGATGAGGCATTTGTAATGGGCTATAACCTTGGAAGTCCTCTGGCCCTGTATTATATGAAAGTAATAAATCCCTACCATATATCGGACAGCCCAGTATCCACTCTCCAGGGCCCTTGGCCACCATGAAGGCATCTTCCAATGAGGCAGGGAAGACGGTAATAGTGTCCTTCCTGTGGTGCCGGGAGATCAGAGTCTGTCCATGGAGGTAGATGGGGTGTATATCGAAAAGGTCACCCATGCCAACAAAATGCCACCTGACCCTGTCCTCTGCACACATGGTGAGATTGGGCAGATTTCCGTACATGTATCCATTAATTGCTGAAAACAAATGTAAATTAACTTATGAAGCCTGATAGATAAGGGCCACATGGTATAAATTCTATGCATTTCCTCATTACATACACCCAGCAGTGTCAACATTGCCCTTACGCATGATCTATGACAAGAGTTGATTTGTGTTTCACAAAAAAGAAGGCCATAAATATTGTATATGATTGGAAGTGGTCGCAGCGCAAAGATTTAGAGGCAAGAGGAGGAAAAGCAGCTGAAAGTGAGGAAGCGGTGAAAGGGGAAAGAATAGAATGAAGCTTAGTCCGTGAAAGAAAGAGAGCAAGGAGAAAGGCAGCTGAGTTAACAGGACCATCTTCTCTGAAAAATTCTACGCACAAACACATTTTCCTAAAACATGACACCAACTTTTGATCAATATCAGATTTTTGAAAACAAATGCATCTGCCTAACTTTACTTGCTAGGAAACTTTGAAAAGCAGCAGGGTTTATTAGATGCCTTGCATATCAACTAGCACACCCCGAGTGAAAAACTGAAACATAAATTTAAGCAAGCAAACTTAACAAAGGAAAAAAGCCCCTGAATAGAATCACAGAAGTTAGACTTATAGGATATTATAATCGAGAAGGTTTTTAAATCTTACAGAACATCGTATTGCTTTGCTGGAAGCTCTGATCACTAGCATTAACTTGGCCAGATTCAGTATATGTCTGAATATTGTCATCGATATACCAGCTGTTGTTTTCGTCAGTTTGAGCGAACATCAGAACATAAAACTTATCGATATTTTTTTCAATGTCTCCATCCAGTGTGCCTGAAACAAACAAACACCAGCAAAAACCAGCAAAACTTCCTCTTTGCAACCATTACTATTACTATAAAATAAGTTGATGATTCTAACGGATTCAACTTAAAATATAAAGGTAAAATCTTGCACCCTCTGCAGACAGAACCCTAAGGAACCAAGCGTGCAGGAGCCGGCAGGCGGCCTCTCACCCTCAGTGCCTCCCGCCGGCCGAGCCCACGCTTCTCTGCAGGAGAAAGGGGCCCGCAGCACTTTGGGGCGAGGAAGGCTGCAGTGAGGTTGGCCGGGTTTGACTCCCATCTACTGATCACCCCGCATTACTGGACGTGAACTGAGGTGTTGGACTCAAGATCGCCACCCAGCACCCAGAGTCCCAGATGGCAACTTTATTTTTTTTTTACTAGAGAATCAAGATCAAGGCAGGAAAACAGAGCTCATTTGGTAGCAAAATTCCAGTAGGAGAGTGAGGGAGACCCCACATATTCTGCTTGACTCAATTGCTGCAATGAAATTTTAAAAATCTGTTACCTTTTTTACAGGTCAGAATTGGTCCAACAAGTCCTGAAGTCACATCTCTGAGAGTGTCTATATGGGAGTGGTATATCCTGGTTACGCAGTTGCTGTCATTGGGAGCAGGCCCCTGCCCTTCCTGTACAAACCACTTGTAAGTATACCGGCTCCCTGGCTCCAGACGGTCGTCTTCCTTTTGCCAACCCGTAGTATTATCAGGATAGAGAGCACCTAGGAAACATGATCTGCACTGTGGTCACAGTAACCATTGGACACACTATTCTGAATGTGACTCATGCTTTCATGTCATAGCATAAGACATGAATGTATGCTAATTTGTATTTTCAGAGTAAAGCGTGCATTTCTCTCCTCCTCTCTCCTGACTCCTTTAGTTGGCTCCTTTAGTTGGCTTCCATCTGAATGCCCAGCTTGACACTTTCTAGAACAAAATGTAATGATGCAGGCAGTGTATTAACAGGCTACCATCACTTTTATTGATGGATTCCACAAATATTTAATGTGTACCTACTATGTCCCTAGATATAGGATACAGAGATCTGGGCTCCTGAGTCGCTCACCATATTTTTTTCACTTCAAATGGGACTTGGGAGCCATGACATCAAGAGACATCCATGTGACCTCCAAGTAGCCCACTCGTGTCTGAAAGTGGCCTGCAGAGCTTACATTACCCTGAGCTATTCAGTTCTGAATTTGGGGCCTTGCTCTCTTTTCTTTCTTCTCCTAAAATTTCACTTCAGATGCCCACCTCTTGAGGCCAGAATACTGATAACTATGCATAAAATTTCTTCATTCAATAGAATACTTTGAACCATGGCTGACCTCTCATTCTTGGGACTCTCACACTCCATGTTGCACACAAACCCCGAATTGTTGGTTTTTCCTTCTCCTTTCCCCCAGCATCATCAGGCACTGTGAGTGTAGATGTGTAGGAGGGAAGATACTGTCAAGAAAGTAGTGCTTCCTCTTGACACTGATGTTTTCCAAGAGGCTAATCTCATCCACTAGGAAATGAAATGTGATGGGGCAGAACAGTATTTCTGCCAACTGACATTTAGCTCATGAGTGTCTCCTACAAAAAAATTTCCTTTTGGTGAGTGAAGAGTGTTTCCTTTCCCAGGAATTGTACGAGGGTAGTTATTCATTCAAGATTTAAATGAGACTTGACTTTGGGTAGTGAACACAAAATGCAATATACAGATGACATATTATAGAATCATACAATTGAAACATATATAATTTTATTAACCACTGTCACCCCAATAAATTCAATAAAAAATTGAAAACACACATGGCAACGAGTTAAAAAAAAGATTTAAGTGAGAACTTTAAAAAGAACTGTCTTGAATATAAACATTAAAGACATCGGAAGTAAGAAGATGCAAACATCCCAAACTCCTCCTAGTTCAAAATGACACCCAGTTAATGATGACTTGTTTTTCCTGAAGCACTGGGCTCATCCTCTCTATAAGCAAAAGCTCAGGAATGTCAGGAAAGAGAATCCACTTACCTTCATTATCTTTAGTGTAGGCGAGTCCATGAGGATGGAAACTGAACATCCTTGAAGCAAAATTTTTTACATGTACATAAATATAGTCTCCAGTCTCTGCTATAATTATCGGACCTAAAAATCCCAACCAAGATGGTTTTTTAACGACCTTTTGAAATGTGCCATCAGTATACTGAAAATATAAAGCCTTTTTATAAACAGATCCTATTCTATCTGGGCCACGTTGTAGATACATTTGGGACTCTCTGTAAAAAAAGAAACAAACAGAAAAAGAGAAAATGTTAACAAATTTTGACTAGAAAGAAAACATCTTGAGTCAAGTGCAACCAGAAGTAAGAAGCTTTGCAGCCTAATTTGGGTGGAGACAACAGACACCAGAGGAAGTGTGAAGGGGATCTAAGCAGGCGTTCAGCCAGGGACAATGCTGCGGCCTGGTGACAGGATCAAGCTCAAAGGCAGCAAGCAGTACACGCGGTGGCTTTGTTTAAAGGCCTTACCAAACTCTGTACTGAACTACAGAAGGGCTTCGAACACCACTTTGAGCTCACTTGAGCTCTCAAGCATTAGATCAATTCCTATGACTTAGGATCATTTACTCATTTAAATACGTCTGTAGGTTTGTTAGTAGAACTGGGGGCATTCTGGCCAACAAACAGTCAATTAGGCTTCCGCTCGTTACCTCTAGATGCCCCCCTTCCCGTTATCTGAAGAGAGAAGTCAAGAAGATAGCTGCAATGCTACAATCTCTGGCACACACATAACATCAGAGAGAAAAGTGTGTTTTACGTCTTGAGCACTATTTGAACAGAACAGGTGATAAGCACAGAATTAGACAGGATCCTGAAGGAATGTGGCAAGAGGGCAAGAGTGGCGATGATCCCAGGAAGGAGAGATGTCTGATCCATATTTATCCGTCTCCCACGCCATTCTTATACTAAAAGCACAAAGGAAGTGGTTCTAATAGCAAATGTGCCCTTAAAGGGTCGATCCTGGGAAATTCTTAATCAGCATTTTACCAGTGAGTAACAGTTACCAACCATTGCTTCTGACAGTAGCTTTTTCAATGCAAAGGTCTTACTTACTGATCTTCTGAAATGGGCTTCCCAGTCAGCATATTTTTACCAGTAGGAGCATAGTTCCAAGTAGTTTCCTTAATTGCTATATAGTAGTGCCTATTTTTTGCCCAACCCGGAGAACTAATAAAAACCAGAAAGGCGAGTGGTAAAAGGGCCTTCATTTTTGAATCCTGAGCCTGGAGAGATTACCTGAAAGATGCTTGCTTCCTTTTATAACCCAGGCTTTCTTCCTTATTGGTATTTATTTACATAAATTAAGGTTACACAAGAGCTTATCATGTGCTTCAGCTACGTGTCTGTCCATTCCATTCCAAATGCATTTAGTTTTCATTAGTCAGACCAGGTGAAATGCTGCACAACCCACAGAGAATTCTGGTTTTTTGGTCAGTTTAGAGCATTTTTAATTGCTGGTTAGATTGGCTATCCAGATCATCCACCCTTCCCTGACAGTTGTTATCTATTTCTAAATTAGAGGAATTGTCTCCAGTCTAGTCTCCAGCCTCCTTTTTCTTACTGTTCTAGTCCATCTTTTTACCTACCATTCTCAGATTCTTCTTTAATTGTTAAAACTTAGTCCTCAAGTGATGATTTAAATTCTTTGTCATTTATGACTTTCTTTAAGTCATTCTCAAATTTCTTGACGTCTAAAACTGTTCATAATCTAGCCCCCAATCTGATATTCCAGGCGCTGGCATCAGACAGCTCTGGGCTTGACTCTCAACTCTGCCTCTTACCAGCTGCGACCTATGTGTGACTGTGGAACTCAAATTCTCAACTTATAAAATGATAATAATATTACCCACTGAGAGAACTGTGAAAATTAAATGAGACAGCACATGTTTAGAGGAGCTTGGAGGCACATAAGGAGCCTGATACACAGTCAGCATTTCACAAGTGTTATTTAGCTCCCTTTCACCCACAGTTAGAGTGGGCTTTGCAATATGACAGTCTGCAAGTTTTGACCTGTGTAGAATTTAGCAACTGTTGCTTATAAAAAAAACTCATAGCCTCATTATTTGTGAGTTTTTCACATTTGTGAATCCTTTGGTGAGTTTAAAGAAGCTGGGCAAACAGCCTGCTGCTTTGGCAGGTTTTAATGTCACCAGCAGATGTTGGAAGGAATTCAGAGTACTTAGGCCTGGAGGGATGGAGGTGTGTGGAGAAACTGCCCAGTGGAGAACCAAGAGGAAGAGATTCATACCCCTGCACCCTTGGGAAATAGTTGAAAGGTTGGACAGAAGACCCAGGTCAGGCACACTGGATCTCATGAGAGATGGATGAGAGATGGGTGAGAGATGGGTTCTCTGGCCTCAAGGAGGAGACCCAACTCGGTTGGAATTGTTCGGAAGTTACAGTCTCACAGGTCTCGCTCTGAGTGTAGAAGAGCCATCCCTGCCACTGTGGCCTAGACCAGCTGTTGTAGAAGGATACAGTCATCAGGCAGGGGGTCAGGATTCCTTAGACAGGCTTTAAATGTCCCTTTATCCAGAAAGTCTATGATTTCCTTCCTCATCTTCCCAGGAACATTAATTTTACTTTGGAATGTGAAAACCAGAAGATTCATTCAGCTTGCATTTTTTCCCCTTAGTAAGTAGCCCAGTAAGTACAAAGAAATCTAGTATATTCAGATCAAACTGATCTACCTCCAGTTCCCACTCTACCATTTACTACCTGCGTGATTTGGGATGAGTTGCATATTTAAAAATAACTATGATTAATACATTAAGGGCTCTAATGAAAAAAAGTAGACAGCATGCAAGGACATATAAGCAATGTCAGTACAGAGATAAAAATTCTAAGAGAGAATCAATTGTAAAAGAAACGAAGAATGTTTTTGATGCTTCATTAGACTGGACACAGCCAAGAAGATAATCCGTGAGCTTGAAGACCCATCAATGGAAACTTCCAGAACTGATATTCAGAGAAAAAAAGAAGAATGAAAACAAAACACACAGCAGAGAACATCTGAGAATGGTGAGAAGCTTTTGAAAGATGTAACATACAGAAGATCAGAATAGATCAGAAGGAGTAGAAAGTAAAATAAATATTCGAAGTAATAATGGCCTAGAGCTTTCCAAAATGAATGACGCCAAACGACAGATCCAAGAAGCCCAGAGGATAAATGTCAGAATAATAAAAAAAACCAACAACAAAAACCCTATACCTAAGCACATCATATTCAAACTGTAAAAAACCAAAGACAAAGAGGAAATCTTGAAAGAAGCCAGAAGGTGGGCAATACCTTACCCATAGAGAAATAGGGGTAAGAATTATAAAACTGAACTGATCTTGCTCGTCCCCCAAAAGCCATTTCAATCACTGTCTTCACCTCAGCTAATAGCAATTCCAGTCTTCTAACAGCCCAGGCAACAAAATTTTGGATTTATCCTGAGTTCGTCTCTTTCTAATATTTCACATCCAGTCTGTCACCTGTTCAAAATATATCTAAAGCCCAGCCACATCTCACACCTCTACTGACATTTCTTTGGTTCCAGCCACCACCATGCTCCTCTAGAGTACTGTAAAAGCTCCCTAAGGCTTCCTAAAATATTACAGATGTCCCCCTGCTTCTGCCTTTGCTTCCCTTCTTAACACAACAGCCTGAGGGAGCCTTTTAAAATATAAATTTTTCATTCCTCCACTCAAAGCCTTGCAATGGCTCTCTTTCTGATAGAGTGAAATCCATAACCTTTTCTATGGCTTTCAGAGCTCCTTAATGATCTCATCACCTCCTTTCTCTCATCTCTACTCATCTCTCCTCTGCTCACTCAGCTCCAGCCAGGCTTGCTTCCTGCAGTTCTTTGAACATACCAACCACGCGTGCACCAGAAAGCCCTCGGACTCCCTCTGCCTGAGTGCTCTTCCCTCAGCTATCCTGATGGTTCCTTCCTTAGCCTTCTGCAAGTCTGAGATGTTACCCTCTAATGAGGTCTACTCTGAACACCTGATTTCATAGTGCCATCTGCTCCACCAATCTTCTCCCCAACATTTGGGATTCTNTCTGCCCGAGTGCTCTTCCCTCAGCTATCCTGATGGTTCCTTCCTTAGCCTTCTGCAAGTCTGAGATGTTACCCTCTAATGAGGTCTACTCTGAACACCTGATTTCATAGTGCCATCTGCTCCACCAATCTTCTCCCCAACATTTGGGATTCTCCCTATTTTTTCTTTTGTCCACAGCACTTACCATGTTCTAACTTACTAGAGTTTATTCTCTGTTTTCCTTACTAAAATGTAAGCTCTATTAGGGCAGACATTGTTGTTGGCTTTGTTCGTTGATGTATCCCCAGCACCTAGAATAGTTTTTGGTACAAAGTATGGGCTTACGGATTATTTGCTGAATGAATACATTCTAAGATACCCTGTAACTGGCAGTGCGGCCTGGGAAAACAACAGCAGCTTCAATAATGATAATCACAACCATTTTGGGGGTACTTTCTATCTGTTAAGTGCCTCAAGAGTAAGACGACCTCAGCAGCAGGAAGGTAGAACTCCTGCCTAGGGCCACACAGCTGGTTAGAGACAGAGCCAGGATTGGACACCCAGGCTTTCTGCCTTCAGAACCCATATTCTTTTTTTCTTTTTTTAATTTATTTATCTTTATTGTTGAAAATATTTACCCCCATTGATCCTCTCCACCCCACATCCATCCCACCCCTAGGCTTTCTCCAGACCACTGTCTGTGTCCATGGGTTATACCTATAAACATATAAGTTCCCTGATTAATCTCTCCCCAGCCACTCCTCCCTCCCCACCTTCCCTCTGAGATCCCTTCAGTCTGTTCGATGCTTCTATGTCTCTGGATCCATTTTGTTCAACAGTTTATTTTGTTTATTATATTCCACATATATGTGCGATCATGTGGTACTTGTCTTTCTCTGACTGGCTTATTTCACTTAGCATAATACTTTCTAGTTCCCTCCATGCTGTGCCAAAGGATAAAAGATCCTTCTTTTTTACAGCTGCATAGTATTCCATGGTGTGAACGTGCCACAGCTTTTTTATCCACTCATCTACTGATGGGCACTTGGGCTGTTTCCAGATCTTAGCTATTGTAAATTGTGCTGCTATGAACAGAGGGGTGCATAAGTTCTTTGTGATTGGTGTTTCAGGTTTTTTAGGATAGATTCCTAGAAGTGGGATCACTGGGTCAAATGGCAGTTCCATTTTTAATCTTTTGAGGAATCTCCATACTGTTTTCCATAGTGGTTGCACCAGTCTGCATTCCCNTCAAATGGCAGTTCCATTTTTAATCTTTTGAGGAATCTCCATACTGTTTTCCATAGTGGTTGCACCAGTCTGCATTCCCTCCAGCAGTGTACTAGGTTCCCCTTTCTCCACACTCTCGCCAGCACTTGTAGTTTGTTGATTTGTTGATGGAGCCATTTGGATAGGTGTGAAAAGATACCTCATTGTGGTTTTAATTTGCATCTCTGTGATGATTAGCAATGTTGAGCATTTTTTTGTATGTCTCTTGGCCATCTGAATGTCCTCTTTGGAGAAGTGTCTATTCAGGTCCTTGGCCCATTTTTTAATTGGATTGTTTGTCTTCCTTTTGTCAAGTTGTATGAGCTCCTTATATATTTTGGATATTAACCTTTTATCAGATGTGTGGTTGACAAATATGTTCTCCCATACAGCGAGCTCCCTTTTTGTTTTGTTGATGGTTTCTTTTGCTGTGCAGAAGATTTTTATTTTGACGCAGTCCCATTTGTTTATTTTCTCCTTAGTTTCTCTTGCCCTAGGAGATGTATCAGNTGATGGTTTCTTTTGCTGTGCAGAAGATTTTTATTTTGACGCAGTCCCATTTGTTTATTTTCTCCTTAGTTTCCCTTGCCCTAGGAGATGTATCAGCAAACACATTGCTATGAGAGATGTCTGAGATTTTGCTGCCTATGTTTTCATCTAGCATTTTTATGGTTTCATGTCTTACATGTAAGTCTTTTATCCATTTTAAATTTACTTTGGTGTATGGTGTAAGTTGGTGGTCTAGTTTCATTTTTTTGCATGTACCTGTCCAATTTTTCTAACACCATTTATTGAAGAGACCATCTTTACTCCATTGTATGTTCTTCCCTCCTTTATCAAATATTAATTGACCATAATGGCATGGGTCAATTTCTGGGTCTCTGTTCTGTTCCATTGAACTATATGTCTGTTCTTG